TCTCCTAGGTTCACAAAACTGTTGTCCATAAAATGCGTTGCACAGATTCGAACATCTGGGTTGTGCTGTTCTGTTGTAAATAAATCTTAACCAATAATTCCTCATTGCATCTACTTTTGGAAGGCCAAATAAAGTGCTTTTGCTTTCACACAGAATCACACAGCGTCTCCCTGACATGGCTGCATCAACACTACTGAGGTTCCTGAAACCACGCATTCTTTCTTTGCATGAACATTTGGGCGGCATTACGCAAATATTTCCACATCGTGACGTAGAGATGTGGGGGCGTGCTAGAATGAGGCCTTTTTAGCCCGGTCTGGATCAGCCTTCTCTTTTAGATAGAATAAATCCTTTTGTGGGAGACTTTGAGCTTTGTAACTCTGCAGATCTTATACATGCACAAATAGCTACATAACACACTAAAGAAAAGGAAAAATAGAAATCGTATCATATGACCCCTTTAAATCATTTTGAATCATCTTGAGGCCCCCTTGGAAGTCTCCCTTGTTGCCCCCTACTGCTTTAGGGTGTCTCAGTGCTTTTATGAGAGAACATGAATATTTAGCAGTTTTACTTCCTTTTTATGAGCTTCTGGTATGTGTTTTGGAGGTGTGATATCACTGATACTGTAGTAACAACACATTCAGGGGAAAATGTAAAGCTGTATACAGAGGATGTGAATATGCCATGGTGCATCATGGGAATCTTGAGTTTTTTATGTGGTTTGACATATCCGAGATCTTGTGCTTGGTGGTGGGGCTTGAGCTTCCATGCTCTCTTTAGCTCCCCTCATCCTCCTCTTCTCTCTCAAACAGATGTGAATGAGTGTACGAGGAGACCTTGTCTAAATGCTTACGCTTGTAAAAATCTAATTGGTGGATATCATTGCAACTGCTACCCGGGCTGGGCGGGACCGAACTGTAATATCAGTCAGTATACAAACTCTATAAAGTCTACAAAGTCTGTATCTTATACTTTTTCACTCTTTTTCAGCAAAGCAGCAAACTTTTGCTCTTCCTTATCTTCTCTAATGCTGATTAAATGTGCTTTGTTATTCATGAAGCAGAAACAGCTTTAAAGCAATAGTGCACCCAAAAATTCCTAATGATGATCCAAAAACAGAAAATGTTCTCTTCCACCATACTATAAAAAAGGCTGAAATGTAAGTCATTATTCATTACCACCAGTTTTGTGAACTGGATCAATTAATTCTTAGAAAATATCTGACTCAAATAATTGGTTCGTTCACAAATAAACATTCTGGTCTGTTACATTTCTCTGTTTGTCACACACAAGTTATCATATAGCTTCAGAAGACCACTTTTATGATGCATTTATTGTAAATTTTTGTCCTTTTTGAAGCTTAAAAGCTTCTTTTAAATTACATAAAATAGAGTGACCACCACAGTCTTTACAATTAATTTATACAACAGAAATGTGGTCATTTTTGAGAAAGCAGTATTTGAGAAAGATGTATTTTCCATCTTCAATTATTCTGTATTGCTTTGTCTCTTACAACGAGTTTTCTCCTAATTGTGCATGTGTTCTGTTTATCTGCCTGCTCTTGCATGTCTAAAAGCTGTTTTGATATTGTTGATCTCGATCATTTTTTACACATTTTGGACCAGAATGATGTGCTGATTGTGTTGATGATTATTTTACAGATGTCAACAGCTGTTACGGTCAGTGTCAGAATGGAGGAACCTGTCAGGTGGGCATATGCCTGTTTTATTTGGCATGTCTGTTTAGACATTCTGGGTTGAATCAGTTGCACTGCACCCTCCACAACCAACACAGTGCACAGTGCACATTTGTGTTTCTTTACACTGTTCTGATTTACGTAATACAGTTAGGTAAAAAACTGTTATTGCCTTTGATGGTGCTACTGTAAGAAAAAGCTTTTTTTCAGAATAGCAGAATTTAGTGAAATAAACCATGAACAGATGGTTCTAAACTCAAACCATACCGATTTTGCAGCCATTTAAGTTACACTTCTTATGGCAAAATTTGCATGCTTTTTCTCAAGGAATCAATAATGTTGGCACAGGTGTGAGCACGCAAATGGTAAAGATAAAAGAAATTAAATAGGTGTTGGTTCCTTCGATAATTAAGATATTTGGGCGATGCAGTTATTTTAATACAGTTAGGTAAAAAACAGTTATTGCCTTTGATGGTGCTACTGTAAGAAAAAGCTTTTTTTCAGAATAGCAGAATTTAGTGAAATAAACCATGAACAGATGGTTCTAAACTCAAACCATACCGATTTTGCAGCCATTTAAGTTACACTTCTTATGGCAAAATTTGCATGCTTTTTCTCAAGGAATCAATAATGTTGGCACAGGTGTGAGCACGCAAATGGTAAAGATAAAAAGAAATTAAATAGGTGTTGGTTCCTTCGATAATTAAGATGTTTGGGCGATGCAGTTATTCTTAAAGGGATAGTTACCTGTGTGACTTATTTTCTTTTTTTTGTTGTCTATACAATGGAAGTCAAAATGGTTTGATTATCAATATCCTTTTTTTATTGCTCAGACAAAAGTAACTAGTTTCTTTGTTCAGTTTTGGGTAAACTATTCCTTTAAAAAATACCATGCAATGGAATTTATATTGGAGTAGGCTATCATTTCTTGGTTATTTGCTCCCTAACTTTTACGAGCTTACTTGGGCTTCTGCCCCGCACACCTGCGAAACATCTCCACCTCTGTGTGTTTTTGTTAGGATGGTCATCATGGTTACGTGTGCCAGTGCCAGCCAGGCTTCATGGGAAGACACTGCGAAGTGCAGCAAAGCAGGTGTGCTAGCTCCCCTTGCCAGAATGGTGGACACTGCCGTTCGCTAGCCACAGGTTATGAGTGTGAGTGTCTGTACGGATACACCGGAACCAACTGTGAGGTGAGGCCAATAATTGCATAAAGTATGTACACAAAGAACTTTTTCTTTCTCAATCACTCATTTCCTCTCTCGTTCTCTGACTCTCTCTGTAGGTGCAGGTGGATCTGTGCAGTCCAAACCCATGTCAGAATAAAGGCCAGTGTCATTCTATGAAGGGAGATTTTTACTGTGCCTGCACAGATGAATATGAAGGGAAGACATGTAGTCAGCTACGAGACCACTGCAAAACCAGCACCTGCCAAGGTAGACAATGACCTCACTGAAGGCCTCATAAAATGTATGATGTTCCTGTAGCTCAATTAGCAGAGCACAGGGTTATTTGATTCCCAGCGAATGCATTAGATCAAAGTTACTTATTAATATACATAAGCTAACTACTATTTCTAATTGATTTTATTTTCCATAAATTTTATTAAGGCAGCGGCTAAGTGAAAATAGCAATAGGTGAAGTGAAAATAGCACATTTTCTTAGCGATAGATGCTATTTACACTAAGTGCAAATAGCAATGGATTCTATGTACACTAAGTGAAAATAGAAGTATTTTTTTAGCAATATGCTATTTACACTAAATGCAAATAACGATATATTATTTTTACTCTATGTAAATTCTATTTACACTATGTAAAAATAGCAGCATTTTCTGCTATATATACTACTTATTGCAAGTAGTGGCAAATATCTGCACCTCAACTGTAGTACATTATAAAACAGTATGGAATAATAATGTATTGAGTGTAAATTACTAATTTTAGTAGAATTATTAAATAGATGCTGCCATATAGAAAAAATAAAGCCCTTACTACACCTACCCTAACCCTACCCAATACTTTATTTTAAACTTTTCGATTATTTCCTTCCGATGTGATAAGAGATGTGAAAAGGAAGAAGAACTAGTTCGGCAAAAGGTGGATTCGAACTCAGGTCGCTCGCGTCATAAAGAATGCGTTAAGTGCTTTATAACCTACACCAGTAGTTCTCAAACTTTTCCAACGCCCTTAAATTGATTTACAGGTGCATTTTTTACCTTTATAGAGGCAAATATTTTCTATCCTTATTAATTCTGTCATGTTTTATGTCATATTCTTAACATTCCATTAAGTGTATTATTAATATAATAAATAAAGCAATAAATTATGGCAAATCGAAGTGATACTTGTAGATTTAAAAATAAAACCGCCAATAGGTGGCGGTGTTCTGACGATTTGTGCTATCCGCTCAGATTGTGCTACCTCCCGTTAAAAAGATAGGTAGCACAAATCAATAGCGAAAAATGCTACCTATCAGCTTGTGCTACCAGCATCTTATTCATGTGGTTTGAGGCTTTTTTTATGTCTATACCTTCCCCTACATGTCCACACCTACCCTTACCCTAAACTGACCCTTAAAACAATGTAAATATATTTTTGGTAGCATAATCTGATAGGTAGCATGTTTCGTCGGTACAGCGGCAAGTCGCTGTCTTAATGAGCCAGGCGTCGTGTCATTCATTAATTTAGTAACGAAGCAAAATGCTGTAGTTATGAATGGGTTATTAATCACTGTCTCTCCGAATCGTTCAAAGCCGCAGATTCGTTCACTAACTAAACACCGCTTGCTTGGAGACGCACACCAGATGTTATGGATTTCGTTGGAACTATTATTTCGTTGCAAAATAAAACAAACATGACAATATTCTGTTTAAAATGTAGGCTACATTTAAAATGTAAAATGTTCACTTAATATTACCTTTTTTTTGTTGAACTGTTGTAAAAATTAATGGCACATTTGCCATCGTTTGGATATTCAGGGAAATTTGCATTCTTGCTCGTATTGTAAACATGAAAACAATAACACGCACAGAGTGTGTCTGTATCGAAAAGAGTTTAAATCGATCTCAGTCCATGTCAATATTTGCTCTTCGTGCTATTAAGTGAAGATCTACTTCAAAGATACATTGAAACAATGCGCGATTTGCTAAAGCAGCATATTCAGCATATATGCACGCTGCTTGTGTGGATGCAGTCAGTTTTGACCGCAAAAGATGAGGTAAGCTGATTAGATATCATGTATTTGACCGTTTACAGAACTCACATTTTCCTGTTTTTACATTGGAAGCGGCATTTTACTTATCAGAAATACATGTTCAGTTTTAATGTTACTTTAAGTTGGGGTAGAATTAAATGAATGCTAAAACTCAGAATTTTGTTTGCGTACCCCCCCTCCGTCATCTCACGTACCCCCAGGGGTACGCGTACCCCAGTCTGAGAACCACTAACCTACACCACTGAAGCCATTAATTGATGGACATCTTTTGTAATGTTGTCCAGCCCAACCATACATTGGTGGGTGGAGTTAGTGCAAATAGCCTCTGCCAACAAGGTGGGCTTTTTGCACTTAGTGTAAATAGACACTGTTTTAATACATTTTTTTCCCTTTTGTATGTCCCCTTCTGACATTAATGTCAATGTTTGGTTAATCTTGTTTTGGATGATGTTCTTTTTCCTCATTAGTGATTGACAGTTGTACTATTGCCGTGACAACCAATGGCACAGCAAAAGCGGTTCGGCACATCTTATCAAATGTGTGTGGTCCTCACGGGCGCTGCATCAGTCAGTCAGGAGGGAACTTCACTTGTGCCTGCCAACCAGGATTCACTGGGACATACTGTCATGAGAGTGAGTAATATTACGCACATCTTAACACACACCATTATTACAGCTTTATAGCAGTATTTACAGTACACACACCAATTAATGGGGGTTTCTGCTTTCTCTCTCAGATGTAAATGACTGTGCATCATCTCCTTGTCAGAGCGGAGGAACATGCATTGATGACATCGACTCCTTTCGCTGTGTCTGTCCTGATGGCTTTGATGGGCAACTCTGTGAGCTGGGTAAAAAGATCAGCTCTACATACTTAACTTAACTATTGTCTCTTTTAGTAGTGGAGCTCTAAACACATTTAGTCCATAGAGATTTATTTAGACAAAAATTTAAGCTATACAACTATTTTTAGCATTGATAAAAATAATAAAAATCCCTTGAGCACCAAAACAGCATATTAGAATGATTTTTGATGGATCATGTGACACTGAAGTATTGCTGAGTATTTCGCTTCAGCTTTTTTGTTTTATTCCATCACAGGAATAAATTATATTTTTTATCATTTTTATGTATTTTAAATTTGAATAATATTTCACAGTATTACTGTTTTGATCAAATAAATGCAGTCTTGCTGAAAGAGATTTTTACCAACCTTAAGCTTCTTTCCACAAACCAGGTTGCTTGCTGTTCTAGCAAGATCTAAAAAAAAAAAGCTAATCTGAGTCTGTTTTAGTACAGGGTCTAGCATATATTCGCCATTAGAATGAAAGTACTCCAGCCTAATTTACAGGAGCGAACCGCTACTGATGATGTATAATATTTTATAATAGTGATTATAATCTTTTCTTCAGAGGTGAATGAGTGTAGCGGCGAGCCTTGTCTAAATGGAGGTATGTGCACCGATCTGCTGAATGATTTCTATTGTCGCTGCACTGACAACTGGAAAGGAAAGACGTGTAACTCACGTAAGTGAATGTATGTTTTCGTTTCCATTTTAGGCATTTAACTTTATGCACTTGTACTTAAAGTAGAGTTAATGTTACAGGAGACAGTCAGTGTGATTCCAGTACATGCGCTAATGGAGGTACATGCTATGATCATGGAGACTCATTCCGATGTGCGTGTCCCTCTGGATGGGGTGGCAGTACCTGTAACACAGGTGAGATAGAAGCCAGAACGCCTCCATGTTGACCTCATTTAATCTATATTTTTCTGACTATCTCTGTCTCTCTCTCTAGCCATGAACAGCTCGTGTGAATCTGGTCCGTGTCTAAATGGCGGGACTTGTATTGGAGGGGGCAGCGTCTTCACCTGCATCTGTAAGGATGGATGGGAGGGGCCTACCTGTGCTCAAGGTAAGGCCACGCCCACTTACCAATTTCTCTTTTCCCAAAATATCAACTAACTACACCTTGTGCATGTGTCAATGTGATTTACTCCCACGTGTATGGCAGGCTGTGATTTGCCCTGACAGGTCTAGTTCTGATATATCATCTAGTAGTTCTGCCTTTATGAGATGTTTTCATTCTGTTTTCAGATGTTGATGACTGCAGCCCTCATCCATGGTAAGTGATGCAACAGATAACGCAAGTGAAGAAAAGTACAGAAAGGAGAACAAAACAATCACTCCTGTAAACATGTTACTCACAAAACTTAGTTTGAACTTTTGAATCTGAATATAGAATATAAATGTGTGTAAACCCACACATCTAACGTGGGAAGGAAGCTACAAGTTAATGCACCTGTAGCATCTTTATCTTGCTAAGCGGGTAAGATATACTCAGATGCTGTCTCTCTGTCCTTCTCTTTCTGTAGTTATAATGGGGGACAGTGTGTGGATGGGGTCAACTGGTTTCGCTGTGAGTGCGCACCTGGATTTGCAGGACCTGACTGTCGAATCAGTGAGTAAATAAACATACAAATATCTCTAAATATGACTATGAATATTCATGAGATGACATTCCTTAATGTTTTTCATTATTAAAACCTTTAAGAAATAAAATATTTAACATTGATACTATTATTTAAATTAATATAAAAATATTAATATTAAATAATAATTTACAAGTGGAATGTTTGGAAAACCAGTTTGAACATAGACATTGTTTTTGCAGTTCCATTTAATGCAACTATAGTGACGCAAAAATTACACACTTCATACATTGTGAACAATTTATCCATGTATGTGTTTCATTAAAAAAATTTAGCTCATAATTTTTCAATCAAATATTAGTCTTCTTGTGAAATGACAGACTTCTATCTGGTGACATATGTCGCTTTCTTACAATCAACTGCAAGCTTGCATTCATATCCAGTCAAAACCAAATGAATTGAAGTCATCATCCTACATTTTTTATTTCCTTTTCTATGAGCCATTTCACTCAGGTTGTATGTCACAATAAGGAAGAAAGATCTGATGCTACTTTCAATACATTCAGACTAACACTCTCTACTTCTGTCATTCACTCGATCTCAGACATAGATGAGTGTCAGTCCTCTCCCTGTTCGTATGGAGCCACATGTGTGGATGAGATTAATGGATATCGCTGTCTTTGCCCCATGGGACGAGCTGGACCACGCTGCCAGGAGTGTGAGTTCCCACTGACAGACCACCCTACTTGTTTGCATTATGAGAAATGAAGTGTCTTTGCTGTCTACTCATGTCGTGTGAGCCCAGCTTAACTTCAGCCAAACAAAACTGGACTAGACTAAATTGCCTGTTTCAGCGGCTTTCAACAGGGGTCTGTAGTTGTTCTGCACAGGCTCCGCCAACTTTTGTATGGAAATTTTTTTTTTAAATACAGCTAAATGAATTCAGCTAAACGTTTCATTGTCCCTTACCAATTAAAATGCATTAAGTAAAATGTTATGATTATTTATTTATTGAAATTATGGGATGGCATATTATTATTTGATGCATATTATAATAGGAAAGGCGTAAAATGCATCACTCAGTTATGTACAATATATAATGGAGGTCCCTGCTCCATCCCGCAGCATTTTTTTCATAAAAAAACCCCCCAGTAAAAATAGTAATACTGTGAAATAGTTTTACTATTTTAAATAACTCTTTTTTTATTTGAATATTTATTTAATATTTCTATAATGGCAAAGCTGAAACCGGTCTGAAGTGTCAAATGAAGAAATCATTCTAAAATGCAAATTTTGTGCTTTTTATCAATTTGTGGAAACCCAAATAATTTTTTCAGGTTTTTTTGATGAATAGAAAGTTCAAAAGAACAGCATTTATTTTAAACGTTATAAATATATTTACTGTCACGTTTGATCATGTTAATGTATCCCTGCTGAATATAAGTACTAATTTAAAAAATCTTATTAACTGCAAACTTTTAAACTACTATAATGTTTATGATCTGATCTCACTGTCTTTCTCTGTGTTCCTCTCCATCTCTCTTCATCTGTAGTTATTGGTGTTGGAAAGGCATGCGATCGCTCTGGGGTGAAGGCTAATCATGGTGATCGCTGGGAGGATGGGTGCAACAGCTGTCAGTGCATGAACGGAAACATCAGGTGCACTAAAGTGAGTCCAACAAGCTACCTTAGACTGTGCTACTGTACCAATCAAATACCAGTTGCAGTCACATTCAGTGTAAAATGTTAATGTCAGGTGGAGTTAAAAAGGTGAAAATGCATTAAGGACATAATTTTGTTTATGTTATCATTTATTCTTTTATTTTTATTATTATTTATTTTTATCTCCATGTAGATATACGTAGATACTTCATTAAGATTTTTTTTATTGTGACCACAGGTGCATTGTGGTCGTCAGCCCTGCTTGTTGCAGTCAGACTCTGGTGAGCCACAGCACCCCCTGTGTCCACTAGGACAGGAGTGTGTAGAGCATCATTTCCTGTCTTGCCTTCATCCACCATGCAATCATCTGGGTATATGCGCCACTCGTGAAGGTCTTCAGCCCATCGGCACTCTGTGCCTACCCAACAACGGCTACCTAGACGACAACTGTGCTCGTGTTACGCTTGTATTTGACTCAGACAGTGTCCCGCAGGTAAGAGTTTTTCATTTAGTAATTCAAGTTGTCAAATATGCACAGCTCTTTATCTCAGACACACTTGATTTTTCCATTCAAAATGTGTTGGGTTTGTTTAACAGGGCACTACTGCTGAAGGAGTCTGCACAGAGCTAACGTATCTGCCAATCACACGAACTCTGGCTAAAGACCACACCCTTTCCATTCTTTGCGACCAATCACCTTCCAGCCAAAATGCAGTGGAGGTTGCTATGGTGAGCTCACTTTCTTTAATCATCAGGCGTTAATCCTATAAAATTAGCTCATCTGCTGTAAACAATTCCTGTCTGCTTGGTACTCGTGTTCAGTCTCAGATCTTGATGTGTCATATAAAAACACTGTTAAAAAGACTGAACATAAAAGAAGGTTAATGATGAAGATTTAACTGTTTCTCGTTACTGGACCTCAAGTTGTCAGTTCATTATTTATTAGAAGCTGTTTTCAAATGCCAACAAATACAAACGTTTTACTTGGAAAGTGGGCCTTGAAGAAAATCCCAAGTTTCCTGATGCTAAACACAACTGTGGCGACATTTATGTGTGCTTATCTCGTAAAAGCAATTACTCTAACATAACTTGAAGGCAGCATAAAACAGTGTGCATCAAAATACAGATTTTTTTCATTCAATAACACGCTCTTCCTGAAATCATCACATCTGTTTTCCTTCACATCGGAGTGTTTATTTCTTTCTTTCCATCTCATCTGTCCTTTAAAACATTTCCCTGCCTTTCTTCCAGTTTGCACTTCTTCAAAAAAAGGCCCTTTAAATCAGAGTCAAACGGCTTCCAAAGAGAGCTTGTCAAATTTGATTCTTTTTCTGATCTTTTTGTGAATTCTTTTGTGACTTATTTTCTTTCAATTCTCTCATCTAAATGTTTCTTTCACATCAAAAATCCAGCTTTTCATCCTTTAACATATCTCACCTGTCCTGCTCTGCACCTTCTCGTCTTTCTCTTTATCTCCTTCACTCACTCTGAGACCATTGCTGTAGTAATGCAGTCTCTTGGGGAAAGGTCTGGTCCTCTACTTTAAGCCCTTAATGGACAGAATCTTAGTTTTACTCTTTCTGTGATGTTGTAATGCTATTAAGATTTATGTTGTAACATTGAAAGTTTTCCGGAAAAGGAGCGGTAACCTTTTATGGTGTGAGCCCTCACAAGGCTGCGTTTGTGCTGATGTTATAAGCTCAGCATTGGGACATCCCCCGCGGACTCCAGTGTGGTTATACCCTGACTATTACCACAGACAAATTACATGTGGCTGGTCATGAAATTTAAGGGAAAGGTGAATAACTTGCCCAGTCAGGTCTAACTTCTTTCATTTCTGATCTAGCTATTCTTTTTTTCCTTCCTCACTCTAAATTCCTTTCCTCCTATTTTACGCTGTCTTTCTATCGCTGTCATTCCACTATGTCTCTATCATTCCTCCTTCCCTTTTCTCTGACTGTACTTTTTCATTTTTTTGTTTCAATTTTATTATGTTTTCTTACGAAATCAAAGGGGAAAAAATAAATATTATTTAGTCACATTTTATTTCCAGACTCAAATTAGATTTTCCCTTATTAGTTATCCTAATAGGACAGGGACTTTCTCATTGCTTGCTTCATAATCAAATGTTTGTTTTATCTGTTTTATTTTGTGGTTAAACTTTTCCTGAATGTCGAATTTTTATGTGTCTGCCTGTTTCAGTAGTTTCAGTTCAGTAGTGTCTCTACCAATTTGGCTCTTAGTTGTTGTTGTTTTTTTTTTTTCCATTTTACGGTTTACAGATATTCTACCATTGTGTACTGTCTTTTTGGGGCCAAATAGCATTACATTGACTGTTGATGTTGTTTTGGAGTTTTCCAACAAGTGATATAATTATGTGAATGCAAGTAAAACATCAGGACTATAGCTAAGAGAAAGGACTTGAGTCTTTGCAAATTTTTATTTGCTCTTTTTCATTCTCTCTGCTTTGATTTCCACAGTCATATGAGCAAAACACCTTTGTTGAGGGACGAGCTCAGATACAGGATGTTGTCCGCTCCATCATTGATGTTCTGTCCAAACCTCACAACAGCACGTTGCTGTTGGCTGTGAGAGAGGTCAGAGTTGACACTCAGGATCCACATCCCCAAATCGGTGAGTCTCTTTTAGACATCATAACATAAATCTATTATTATAATTAATCTTTTAAATAATTATGATTTAATTTATAATTTAATTAGAGTTTATTTATAAAATAATTTAAATGCATATATTATAATAAGTTTTGGGTTGGTAAGATGTTTTCTAATTTAGTGTATTTTAAAATGTAATTTATTCCCATGAAAGCTATCAAATTTTCAGCATCATTACTCCAGGCATCAGTGTCACATGATCCTTCAGAAATCATTGTAATATGCTGATTTGATGCTCAAAACATTTTTTTTTGCAATACATTTTCAAGATTCTTTAATGAATGAAAAGTTCAAAAGAACAGAATTTATTTGAAATCTAAATCTTTTGTAACATTATTTATGTCTTTGCTGTCACTTTTGATCCATTTATTTTGATAAAGTATTAATAAAAAATAAAAAAAATCATACTGACCCCAAAAATTTTGATAGTGAATATGTCTTTTTTTGTCTCTTTCTACAGGTTACCTCATTCCGTTGCTGTGTGTGCTGTTTGTGGTATTATGGATCTCATGTGTCATCGTCTGCGTGTGGTGGTTCAGGAGACGCTGGAAAGCGAGACAAAGAGAGGACACGCAGATAGAGGAGAGCATCAACAACCAGCGCGGGACACTACTGAGCACTCACACGCCTCACAAAGACAACACAGACCCGCTGCAGGAGAACAAGAACCTGCTTTACCCTCTGGATCGGGTTGGAGACGGAGCAGAGCGAGAGGAAGAGGAGGAAGAAGGAGATGAAGAGAGCGACAGAGGGCTGGTTCTGCATAAGTGCTCATCTCGTGCGTACACTAAAGGGGACGCAGTGTACACTATTCACACTACAGCCCAAAATCAGCCAAACAGGACACACTGCAGCAGCAAAGACAACCGCTGCAAGAACAATGTGAATGAGAGTTTAAGCGAGCACATGAAAGATCATTACGTATGAAAGAACCAGACAAACTGGACAAAAATATAAGTATTTTTTTGCTGATCTAAAAGCTTTTGGGCTTGTGCGATTGGTGTTTTTCATCCTTTTTTCATCATTTGGTAGTCAAATGAAACAGGGATTTGTGTCAGCAAATGAGACATTCAAAGAATGGTTTTTCTTTTGTTTACACTTCACTCTTTTTCCTTAAAAAGTAGGAAATTTTTACACAAAGCTGAACTTTGAGATTATGTCTGTGAACTATGGCGCGACCTTTGACCCTTGGGGCTAAGGAGGAATCAGCGATAGGCAGCTTTAAAGTGTTTTTGATTATGTCCAGACCTGCCCAAAGTCAAGTGTTAGAAGCCGTTAAATCTTGCAGAGGTATATATACACAAGTGTCTCATTGAACCTTCATGATAGCGCTTACCTTGTATATACATTTCACATAATAATACATATATGTTGGTTCTTGTTTTTGTTAACAAATTCTATTGACACACTTAAATGGGTAGTTCACCCAAAGGAAGATTCAGTCATCATTTACTCACCCTCATGTCATTCCAAACCCGTATGACTTTTTTCTTCTGTATAACACAAGTTACATAAGAGTGGAGGAAGTCACTAAAGAACTGGAGCTTTCAAGCTTCAAAAGTGATGCAAAAGCACCATAAAAGTATCATAAGTGTATCATAAAATTGATCTGTTATATTCCAAGTCACAGACCAAAATATACGTCATTATTCACTAATAGCTCTTCTTTTGTTGAGCTGTTTACCTGTTGTCAGTGAGTGAAAACCAGATCATTCAGAGTTAAACTGGATCAACTGATTCATTGAAAAGCTCCAACTCAAAATAATCGTTTGTTCATGAATCAGAAAATCTCTAACACTCTCAACAAGGAGATTAAGGGTGATTATATCAATATTATGTGAATAATGTCTGAAGTTTGTCCTTCACACAAATCTGTTTTATGACATCAGAAGACTTTTTAAAGAGCTTTACAGCCTCAGTCCTCATTCATTTTTGTTACACAGAAAAGAGAATGAAACAACATTTGGAACGACATGAGGGTGAGTAAATGATGACAAGTTTAATTTTTCGGTGAACTAAGATACTAAGTATAAAAGGTTTACTGTTTTATATTGAAATTCACCTTCTTTGGGAATTGGTACTTATAGTCCAGACAGTATGAGTATTTTGACTGATAAAGTCTCACTCAGCTCTTGATGGTTAGAAATTATTGGTCAGTTTTTTTCCCCGTTTTTTTTCAAGTGACAGCCATATAAACAGAACAGTCATGATGTAAAGAATCAAGGGCCACTTCAGTCAGTGCTTGTGTTGTCGCAAAACACTTGGGTTTTTGGTCACACAGTAGGAGACAATGATTTAAATTGTTTAATCACTGAGAGATAGTTTATTATATTGAAAACAAATATTCATATGTACATATGTAAATAGTGGAAAAAGACAGCTGTGTATATTCGAGTTTAGTAAGTTATGTGACACCTTTTTATCATTGTCATTCTTAGAATTATTACTTTTTCTTATTCTCTCCTTTAGTCGCTCTCCTTTTCAACAGTGTCATTCCTTTTATTTCTGTTGGTCAGAAAATGTTTTATATATAAATACGTAATAAAATGGCCACAGGTTGGTAGTCTATCTGTGGAGACAAAAAAATACTTTAAACAATAGATGATCTATCTTCATGTTAGAATAGATTTTCTGTGTTGTTTTTATGACTTTCCTAATGAATGTCGACTAAGGATTGGACACATGCTGAAAGAATGTTTTGCCACTGATCAAATGCTGACTTCTTCTGAAGGTCTACAGTACTTCATTGGAGAAAGACTCAAAGACTTCAAAGAAATATGCTGCATGTTTGAGTGGCACTTTGTTTCCTTGGAAAATTCCAACACCAGCATTTTGGATGTTGGAAGATTTTGGAAGATTTTTTTTTTTATTATTATTCTTAATGTTTTCAGAACATCGTTGCTTTGTATTATTATGCTACAATTCAAAATGAACCACAAACGGACCAGAGTATTGACCCATGTCAAAGACAGAAAACACATGAGTTTAAAGTGTATCTTCTGTTTGAGTATTGTGTTGAATATCAGATTTTGTATTTATAAAATGGTACTATATTACTATAATACCATTTTTCAAAAGAACACTATGAGTACAGATTTATGTTATCAGAAATCCTCCCTTGTCTGGGGTGGCTGGGGTATTTTTCCCTCCTTTATTCATGAGCTGTTCTGTTATATTTGATTGGGGTCAAATCAAATGCAATTAAGATTTTTGGAAGGTCAGAAAAATTGTATCAGTGCATGTTGCTGTGGCTGAATGAAGGGAACAATTTATGTTTTTCATTGTCATGTGTTTCATTTGGTGTCTTTAGTGCACAGAAAAACATAGTACAGTTGAATATAGAAATGATTGGATGATGCAAAATGTGACAGTAATTCAGATGAGTTTACATTCTGAATCATGTCACTCCTCAATGAAAGTTTTATTATTGTAACATTAAGGAATTGAAACACTCCCCTAACATGGGAAAACAAGTCCATCACATTTCTGGCTGTGATTAGTTCTACATGCACTGATGCTCATACTGAATCTGGCATTTCATTTGTTAAATCTGTTTGATTTTCCCAAGTATTTATTAAAGACTTTTGTACCGATGAGGTTTACACTTTTATTTCATATGCAGCATTTGTGATGTCTTCATTTAGCTTTTCCATTCATCTGTCAGCTGCTGACATCATGCATGACAGTGAAATCCACAGAGCTAGAGAAGAATCCTCTGAGAGTTGAAGAGGCTGATAACAAGGGTTTTGTTTTGACTCAGTCAGAGTCATGATGTATGATGTGTATCATCTCTCTTAAAGATTAACCTGCTCTAACTCATCCTGGGACTCAGGGCTTTAATTTCCCAAGGAAAAAAAGACACGCCCACATAAAAAAATCCTCCATTTCTTTTCAGAACTATTCACCTTGGATTACCGGATCTTTCTGGAGGATGAGGGTGTAAAGCATTGGCAAGCAACCAGTAAAGATTTTTTTAAAAAGGCATCACAACTGTTTTCAACACTGATAATATTTCTTGAGAAGTTTCTTGAGCACCAAATCAGCATATTAGAATGATTTCTGAAGAATCATGTGACTGAAGACTGGAGTAATGATGCTGAAAATACAGCTTTGCCATCACAGGGATAAATTACCTTTTAAAATATATTAAGATAACAGTTAAAACAGTTACATTGCAATAATATTTGAGAATACACAGTTTTTACTGTATATTTATTAAATAAACTGGCAGTCCTATAAAAGACTTGCTTTCAAAAACCTAAAAAAGCATCACAGTTTTCAACATTGATAATATTTCTTGAAAAGTTTCTTGAGCACCAAATCATCACAATGATTTCTGAAGAACCATGTAACACTGAGGACTGCAATGACTGCTGAAAATTGAGCTTTGCCATTTAAAATATATTAAGATAACAGTTAAAAGTTAAATTGCAATAATATTTCAAAATATTAGTTTTTACTGTATATTTATTAAGTAAATTGGTAGTCCTGGTGAGCATAATAGACTTGCTTTCAAAAACATAAAAAAAAAAATTGTATAGTGTAGTTTACCCAAAAATGATTTTGTCATGGAAATAAAATGCTAGTTCATGCCAGTTCATGCTGATTTCACATACAATGAAAAGTGACTGGGGTTGTTATGCTCTAAAAATGAATTAAAGATTTGAGAGCTGTTTTATATTACAGTATATTTTCCTTTAAAGGGCACCTATTATGCAAAATCCACTTTTTGGACATAAATGTGTGTTGGCTGTGTGTGAACACAACCACCCTACAATGATAAAAATCCACCCACTCATTTTTTAATCCTCTTTAAACCAAGTCAGTCTCACTAGGCCTGCCGTTTTGATTCTCATGCAGTGTGACGTCACACTGCATAGGGCCGGGCCATGGGAGTTGATTGACAGCTATGCATTGCTATAGTTTCCGCCCTCAGTGGTTGTACGCTGTCCTCCATTTTCCGTAGCCTTATCCATTTTCTCCGCGCTTGAGCAGCTGTAACGTCAACAATGTCTCGCAAGCAATCCCGATGCTCTGTATTTGGATGTAAGACTGAGCATAAGAGTCTTCATTTTTTCCCAACATCTGAGCTGCTGAGGATGCTGTGGATTACTTAAATTTTTCAAGGTAATGCGCCTCAAAATCTACAGTAATACACTGGCGTAAAGTTGGCTTGATGTTGGATGTTCTATATACATCCAGCTACATGACACACTGCATGAAAGGTAATATTCGAAAAGGCATAATATGGGCACTTTAAAGGTGACATATCATGAAAATCTGACTTTTCCAGGTTTTAAGTGCTATAATCAGGTCCCCGGTGCATCTACTAACCAAGGAAATGTGAAAAAGATTAACCCAGCAACTTTGTTTCGGTCAGCCTTTTTCTGCAAGCGTCTGAAAAAACAAGCACGTCTGATTTCGCTCCCATGGTGACGTGGGAATAATATTCCGTATAATATTACCGCTCCTTAATCTGCACGTTTCCACCCATGGCACCGTAATTTAGATTTTGCAAGCGACAACGGTGTAATGCCATGGCGAATCTTTGAGCAAAACATGTTAGTGTGCTTCAGTTGTGTGTGCTCAGAAAACCGTATATCAGAAGTTTAAACTAATATGGTTTAAAACACATGATTTCATCGCGATAAACATGATAATCAGAACCAAAACAGATGTTTTTTAGCAGGTCTGAGCTGTAATGGCGCAGCTCTGAGCTCTATTCTGGAAAAGGGGGCGGGGAGCAGCAGCTTATTTGCATTTAAAGAGACAGACCCGAAAAACAGCGAGTTTCTGCTTCCACTCAAAATAGGCATTTTTAAAATGATATAATAAATGATCTGTTGAGTATTTTGAGCTGACACTTCACAGACACATTCTGGGGACATCAGAGACTTATATTACATATTGTAAAAAGGGGCATAATATTTCTCCTTTAAAGCTCAATAGCATTTGAGGAGAATGACTTGGTCATAAAAACAATTGTAAACTGTTCATCTAGGTGTAAACTATAACGCATTGCACACCTTTTACATTTTTTATATTTATTCAAATAAACTGTAAATCATGTGTAAAAAAAATGCTACTTTTCACTACGCAATGGGCTCAACCCCAAATTTAAAGCTCAGTAGCATTTGAGGAGAATGACTTACAGTCATAAAAACAACTGTAAAGAAACTGTAAAAATCTGTTCATTTAGGTGTCAACTACAATGCACAAATACATGTATCACTCCAGACTCCTTTGTGAATGTCACGTAATTATAGTACCGTATTGGCCCGAATATAAGACGACCCTGATTATAAGACGACCCCCCTTTTTCCAGATGTACCTTTTGGAAAAAGGCTTTTTAAAAACCAAATCTTGTTTTTTCTCCGTAAAACACATTATGTCTTCAATTATTTTCATATTGCATATTTTTCCTATTTTAATTTTTGTTTTGAAAGTATGGTAAAAACTGGTAAAATGTACCAACAATCACATTTAAAAAATATACACTTTTTGATATACCATTTAAAAAAAAAAGAAAAAAAAGTATCCCATCTGAATTAGGACATTTAGGCTATCCATCTAATAGTAGCCTACCAAAATCTTATTAACAGTAGAAGTAGAGTTGGTCCCATCAGGCTAACGTGACAGTCACGACTCATGCAGCTGTAAGGTTTTCTTTCTCTTTTGTTTTCACTCGCGATCTTTACAACACGCATTACATTAGTATTTCATGGCACACTCGTTTTATGCGGTTTTGGCGCCACCTATTGTTGTGGGTGTATTATTGACATGTCAAAGTCTAGACCCTGAATATAAGACGACCGCGTTTTTTCAGATGTATTTCCAAGAAAAACACTTTTTTTTAATTGATCATCACCATCCTTGTGAGATTAGTTTGCGCCGTTCGTAGCACGAGATTCGTTCGGTAGCGCGGTCGCTACCGGTCCACTGGTCCATTGATCCGCGCCGATGACAGGTCAGCGCGGCGCCAGCTCTGTAACGTCGTGCTGTTTAGTCCCACTTTCAGTGCATTTGGCTTCCCATATGTACTTCCCATATGTGTTCTCTCGCTCTCAGTTATGTTGCTTGTTATCGTGTTCCAGAAATGTCTCTCCCCTTAACAAAACCGTGAGTTTCATCTGCTCAGTGGTAAATATTAATGATGGCTCCAATTGTGCCATACCTATTGGAGTCCAATGCAGACCCTGAAAATGTTTATGAACAAGAAGATTGTGCAGAAACTTTGCAAGCACAAATAAAGGGAATTTTGGAACCGAGGGGTGGAAGAAACAGCATCTGTTCGCCATGGCACCAACACGCTACTAAAGGAGCTCTTCTTCTTCATCTTCTCTAGTGCAGCTCAACCAGTTCTTGTCTGTGGGCAGGAATTATTGTATTTAAATAAGCAACAGTGTATTAAAGAGGATATCGTCTCAGGTTACCCATGTAACCATGGTTCCCTGAGAAGGGAAACGAGACACCGTGTCCCCTAGAGGACACTTTGGGGAACGCCCTCAGCATGACCGGTGTCTGAAGTGCATGTAGAAACACGACAATGAACTTGTCATTGGCCCATGACGTGTTACTGGTGCGACCAAGCATATAAAAGGGCACCTGTAGCACACGTCATCAGCTTCTTGTCTGAAGGAGATGTGCACAGGAATGCCTGTAGCATGGCAAGGGGACGCAGTGTCTTCTCAGGGAACCATGGTTACATGGGTAACCTGAGACGTTCCCTATTGAATGGGAACTCGTACTGCGTCCCCTAGAGGACACTTTGGGGAACGAATCCCCACGCCGCCATGCTGAAGGAATGACTGCCTTATCAACAGGCAGAAGCCAGGAACTCTAAGAAGTTCTTATCCCCAGAA